TGTGTCCAAGCTGTGCAGAACAACCAAGGACAATCAGGTGATGAGATGAATATGATAGCAGCTTCAAGCTCAAATAATAAGAAGAAGTATAGCAACAATGGGGGTAAGAATGTTCCAAAATGCACCTATTGCAACATGATTGGTCACGCCATTGAGAAGTGCTACAAGAAGCATGGCTACCCCCCCCCCCCCCCCCCCCCGGCTGGATTCCAGGATATAAATCAAGAAATAAATTCAACCAAGACACATCAAATGGCTCTATAAATCAAATTGGTGATATAGGCATCTCTGCAGACTAGCTCCAGAAATTGTTAAGTCTCTTGCAGAATTAGAATCAAGGGAATCAATCAGCAACTAATGTTGCTGTGACCTTGAACAATCCAGGGATGAGAGCAAACTTCAAGAATAATGTTGAAGACACAGATGAAGGCAGGTTTATCTCTAACTTGCATATTGATACTGATTTATACTCTCATACTGTGTGGATTCTTGATTCAGGTGCAACAGATCACATCACATGTTCATTAGAGTATTTTGAAAGCTATCACAAAGTTCAAGGAGTATCAGTAAAATTACCTAATGGACAAACAGTGGATGTGACACACATAGGAGAAATTAGACTGCACTTTAATATGCTGTTAAGCAATGTGCTGTGCATCCCATCTTTTTCCTTCAATATCATATCTGTTAGCAAATTGACAAAGAAGGGATCATGCAAGATTATTATGAGTACTAACTCTTGAAATGTTCAGGGTCCTTATGGGATAGTGGCTGGTTTTGCTAAAGAGAATAATGGCTTATACATATTCACTATCCTCCTCCCAGAATGAAGAAGTCTCAGATTGATAGGTCTGTTGAATGTAATAATCTGTCTTTAGAACTATGGCATTACAGGTTAGGGCATTATCCTGTGAATAAGATACATTCTCTGAATGGAATAAAACACTCACAATTCTATAAAACCTCTGAGTTTGCTTGTGATGCATGTCAATTTGCTAAGCACAGGTCAATTTTTCCTGTCAGTGTTTCAAGGGCTGAAAATTGTTTTGACTTGATACACATGGATGTTTGGGGACCTTTTGCTATTGCCTCTCTTAAAGGTGAGCATTATTTTTTGACTATTGTGGATGATCATAGTAGGTTTACATGGGTACACTTAATGAATAATAAGGCAGAAGTGAAGACTTTGTTTCAGAATTTCTATAATTATGTCGATACTCAATTCTCCAAAAAGGATTAAAGCTATAAGAACAGACAATGGTAGTGAGTTTTCTATGAGTAACTTCCTCAATGAAAAAGGTGTTGTTCATCAAAAGTCATGTGCCTACACACCTCAGCAAAATGGAATTGTAGAAAGGAAACATCAACATATCTTGAATGTGTCTAGAGCTATTAGATTTCAATCTGGTTTACCTCTGGAATTTTGGGGATATTGTGTGTTGCATGCTGTCTATCTAATTAACAGGTTGCCCTCCTCTAAGACTGGTGAAAATACTCCCTTTGAGATACTATTTGACAAAAATGTAGTATATGATCATTTCAAAATCTTTGAATGCCTATGTTATGGTCCCACTATCTCTCAGGGAAGAAACAAGATGCAAGTAAGAGCTAGGAGATGCATCTATTTGGGGATTCCTGCCAATATAAAAGGATACATACTATATGATATATCTAATCAGCTTGTGTTTGTTTCCAGAGATGTGCAATTTCATGAACAAATTTTTCCTTTTAAGGAGAAGGAGCCACCAGCTAGTCCAGATTCCTCTGAAGATGAAATGTTTATTCCCAGTCTGCCTTTAGTTCCCACATCAAAAAAAAAAAAAAAAAAAAAAGAACACCTCCCTTGGAGAACATTCAAGAGCCCAATAGTGTTGGAAACCATTCCACGGCAAAAGGGGGTCATAACCCCAATTCTATACCCTGTAATGTTGAAAACATAGGAGCTAGCAATAATGGGGAGCCCACTGAACCAGATATTGAAGCTATATCAGAAGAGGTTAATACAAAAGATAATACTCAATTACCACCTAGAAGATCAGAGAGGATTATGACTATTCCCACTAAATTGAGGGATTATTATTGCCACTCAATGTCAGGAGACTGATTGCTATAATCTGCAAGCGCACAGAGTCAGTCACAGTATAAATTCCTGGAGTATTCCAGGGTCGATCCCACGAAGAACACTATTAACTGTTAACTTAAATAATCAATTTATTGAATAAGAAAGATGCAAATAAATAGAATTAATGTGATAAAATAGAATATTTATGAATTAAATAGCAAAGGAAATTTCAATTGAGAAAAGTCTAGGGATTTGGGTTCACCTATTAGATAATTAACTAACTATCCTAAGTATTAATTCTTATGACTATAGTGATGATTGCTTCAAATATATCTTAACACTCCGTCGAGCTACTAGGTTGTATCCAATTAACTGTGATTGTCCGTCGATATCTCACCAACATTAATTAAACCCATTAAGCAACAATCAAATATCACCACAAATACCTAAAGTTATGTCTAGTTTAGGTCAATTGTGTTTATCTTATGAGTTCTAGGTTCATAATTCACCTGTCAGTTCTTCTTATGAACCCTAATATTAGAATTATGCGATGGTCAGTCACACAATCCACAATTACAATACATAAAATAAATATAATCAAGTTCAATTATTAAATTGAAATTGGAAGAATTAACACATAAAAATTAGTCAATTAATCTAATATATGCTAATCCAAATCCCTAATTAAAATTTTAGCCAATAATCATAATTAAATGTATGGAAAATTTAAGGAACAACATTCTGAAAATTTAAACAAAATAAAGTAAGGAAGAAAAATAATTCAAGCCTAAGAAGAAGATAGCCGCGATTGAAGCTCGAAAATTCCTTACTATGGAGTCTTGAATCTCTTCACTCCTGCTGCAATTTCCTCGCCGAACCGCTGCTGCCCCTAACTTCTCTTGTTTCTCTATTGTTTTTCTCTTCTGTTTCGTACGTATTGCCGAACGAACCAAAAATAAAATAAAAGCCCTAAACCTTAGTCTCCCTTTTCTCTTTCTTTTCCTTATTGCTTCGCAATTCTGTAAGGGGAAAACTAAAATAAAGAAACAAAATTAAATTAAGTAAAATAATTAAAACCTAATGACACCCTTACTAAAACTTAATATTAAAACACTTATTTAGAATTGAATGCATACGACTACAAATAAATCTTAATTAAAATAAAAGTTCTATTTATATTAATAAAAATATAACATTAGCCTAATATTTATTAAAACACATCTAAACTAGTAACATATAAATAAATATAATATTTATTATAAAATCGACCCTAAAACTTAATTTATTTATGCAACTCACTAATTAAAATTACTTTAAATAATGCCTAGAAATTAAGCTTATCAAACTTCCCCACACTCAAGGTTTTGCTTGTCCCCAAGCAAACTTATTAAATGAAATCAAACTACCAAACATAACTATGTCAACTAGGCATTCAATTCAAGGGAATTGTGAACACATAATACTTATGAGAGTTCAAAGTCATATGCACACAAGAAAATAGATAATAGGGAGTTGTTCACTCAATCTCTCAAATATATATGTGTAAGAAAGGTGCACACCATCCTTTATTGAGAGTGCACTTGCCATAGGCTTGCTTGTCCACCAAAACTCCACCACCAAAATTATATGAAGAACACGAGTCAAAAGGTCTTTATTTCTGGGTTGTAACGGGGCCAAAGGTATGTGGTTTTAGAAAGAAAGGATATAAGGAAATACAAATAAAGTCCAAGGAATCAGTAGAGTCATAATTTCACCATATCAAGAGCAAGAGCTTGCAAACCAATACAATGAACTCTACCAAAACAAGCAAATCATTTCTTCATTCTCCCTCTAATAAACAACTCTCAAGACCATCATCTCTTTTTCATCTTTTTTTTTTTTTCATCTTTTTTTTTTTGTTTTTCTTTTTTGTTTTTCTTTTTTTTTTCCTTGGTAAAACTGAATAAATAGCTTTCCATTTCGACACAACCCTCAATGGTACTCTTCCCATAATCATCAAATTTCTGTCATGTCTTCATTGCTCACAAATCATTTTAAGAATAAAATGAGCACAAAAGTTTGTGCTAACAAGATTTTCAACCCACAATTTAGAACATATCAATTTGTTCTCTTTTTTTTTCCCGTTTTACATCCCCTTTGATCACAAACAGTTCCTCACTCAAAGCAAACCAGATATAAAATCACTTTTCATCTCCAATCTCACTCATACTTCATCACTTTTGGTCATCTTGCACAGATAAATGAAATAATGACATCCACTGACCCAAGGACGGGTTAAAAGGCTTCTTTTTTATGAGCAAAGGTTCTTTGGGATTGGCTAATGAAGAAAAATGTCTTATATTTATTTATTATAAAGCTCAAAATGGTTAACTAGGGGAAAAATAACATGTATAAGGATGTGGGCATTTTTAAGGCCATACGGCTAAATGCTAATGCCTTAATCATTCCCGTGTCATCATATAACATGTAACTCTGAAATGGTATGAAGCAAGTTCTAGAAGTAACACAGTCAAAGAGGGCAAATAAACGCTCAAAAATAAAATAAGTTGCAGTGGGCAACCTCTAGGCTCAAAAGCTCACGATGTGACAAAATTTGACTACCAACTCTATGCAAGCATACATATAACCAAACACATTCATTGATATTATGCACTCCCAAAACACTAGAATTTATATCCCAATCAACATAGTCATTAGATGACATTTTTTAAAAACTTTATTTGCTAAGAAATTGCAGAAAAATGAAGGAAAAATGCAGAAAATTAGTGCAGAAAATGTAGAAAAATGCATATTTTTAGTGCAGAAAATGAAGAAAGAAAAACGCAGAATTTTTTTCGTCTCCTCAACTTCCCCTTCCCCACACTCAAACTCAACATTGTCCTCAATGTTAAATAAGGAAGCAGGTATGAGAAAATGAAATAAACATGAAACTTCCCTGTTAATTGCCAATTTCTTCCGGACTGCCTTTTGGTGAAGCAACCATGAATGGTCTCTTTTTATCTCTTTCAATCTCTGTGGCCTCATACGAACAAACTTTAGTCACCATGAAAGGGCAAAACCGTCTAGACTTCAATTTCCCTAGAAAGAGCTTAAGACAAGAATTAAACAACAAAACTTCTTGCCCTACATTGAATTCTCTCCAAAAATTATTTTTGTCATGCCAAGCTTTAGTCAATGTTCTCCACAATCTCTCTTCTTTTGCATTAAGTAAATGAGCATACGAAATCATAAGAAAAGTATCATTGTCACTCAAAAAGTCGTATTTGAACCGCAATGAAGGTGGTTTAAGTTCAAGTTGATGTGGTGTTTCATTAGGTGAATGCTTAACAAATACTTCTTCTGAAGGTTTCTCAATAACATCAACGAAAAGACATGATTCATCAAAAGTTGGTAATTTTACAGCTTTAGAGATAGAGAATTCCTCTTTTTATGTTCCTACTCTAAAAATTAGTTTCCCTAAAGACATATCAATTATTGCTCCTCCTGTTAACAAAAATGGCCTACCAAGTATAAGGGATGTATCTGTATCACTACCCATATCAAGAATAAGAAAATCACCAGGAAAATAAAATTTACCAACTTTTACCAAAATATCTTCCACTACTCCATGCGGGTACTTGATTGATCTATCAGCAAGTTGAAGAGAGATTGTTGTTGGCTTCATTTCAGCTATTTCCAACTTATTGAAAAGCGTTAAAGGCATAAGGTTAATACTGGCACCTAGATCACATAAGCATTTATCAACAACAGTATTACCAATAGTGCAAGGAATAGAAAAACTTCCTGGATCCATTAGCTTAGGAGGCAATTTGCTTTGTAAAATAGCACTACATTCCTCATTTAAATGCACAGTAGCAAACTCTTCCAGTTTCTTTTTATTAGACATAATTTCCTTAATGTACTTGGCATAAGATGGCATATTGGCAAGTGCTTCTGCAAAAGGAATATTAATCTGCAATTTTTTAAAAACCTCTAAGAATCTTTTAAAGTTATTATCCTGGTTCCTCTTTTGTAGCCTTTGTGGATATGGAATGGGGGGGGGGGGGGGGGTACATAAGGTTTTACTGTAGAGGAAGTGAGGTTTTGATCACTAGAACTCTCTTTAGGCACTTGCTCATCTTCTTTATCACTCTCTTTTTCAACACTCATGGGTTCTTTTTCTTTCAAAGCATCATCCAATATCTTACCACTTCTCAAAGTGACAGCCATAGCTCCTTCCCTAGGGTTTATTTCAGTGGTACTAGGAAGCTTACCTTGATCTTTTTCTGCAACCAATTTAGCCAACTGACCTACTTGCACTTCTAAATTATGAATGGATGCTTGGTTGGACTGAGCAACCTTATCAATTTTTGCATCCATTTTCTCCATCATAGTGTCCTGGCTAGCCATGTATTGCATGAACATCTCCTCCAGTTGAGGCTTCTTCTCTTGAGTAGGAAGTTGAGGTTGTTGTGGTGCAGGTGCCTGCTGGAAAGGTCTGTATTGCTGATGCTGAAATCCTGATGGTCCTTGTTGTTGAAATCCGAGTGGTCCCATTTGTCTTGCATTACCTTGATCTCTCCATGAGAAGTTAGGGTGATTCCGCCAACCTGGATTATATGTATTAGAAAATGGATCACTCCTTGGTTGTTGCCTACCCATGTTGGATCCCATGTAATTAGCTTCCTCATAAGAGGGTTGTGATGACTCTGCATTCATACAAACAGAAGAATTATGACCATATGTATTGCAAAAAGCACAAAATTCTCTATTTGAACTATCACGAGTCTTCAACAAGTTAATCTGTTTAGTCAATTCAGCCATTTGTGTTGTCAACTCAGACTGTGTGCTAATTTCATGCACAACAGCTCTTCGACTTCTCACTGCCTTTTGTCGAGAATTACTAGCTAAGTTCTCATAGATAGTTTCTAATTCATCACTATTTTTATCACCTGTGTATCCACCTGCAGCAGTATCTACAAGAGACTGACAATTAGGAGTTAAACCATCATAAAAGAATTATGTCAACAATAACAATGGAAATTGATGGTGTGGACATTGTGTCAAAAGCAATTTAAAACGATCCCATGCTTCATGAAACAACTCAGTCTCTCTTTGAGTGAAAGTGCATATTCTACTCCTATAGTCCATTGTCTTTTGAGATGAATAATATTTAAACATGAAAGCATTGTAAACATCATCTCAAGCTCTTAAAGAACCCTCTGGTAAATTTAACAACCACTGCCTAGCATCACCCCTCATGCAATATGGAAAACATTTCATTCTAAGCTCTTCTTCAGATAAATTATTTAAAGGTAAGGTTTGTACCATACTATAGAGCTCTCGCATAAAACCCAAAGCATCTTCACTTCCCAAACCGTTAAAGGTAGGGAGCATATTCAGATGGAAAGTCTTCAATTCATAATTTCTAGCTGCATCAGATAATTGAATGCAAGAAGGGTTAACAGTTATTACAGGTCTTTGGATGTCTCGAAGACGTGGTTGAGCTGCTTGATTGTGAGGAGGTGAAACTACTGGTGGTATGGGGTCGTCTTGTTGACCCACTCTATTGTTTTCAGCCATTTCAAGCCGCCTGCGTATCCTGTTTTTTCTGCAAGTACGCTCAATTTCAAGATCAATAGGAAATAATTCAACGTTCTTATGCCTTTTTGATCGCCTTAAGTTCATAAACAAACAAAATAAAAATAGAAAAACAAAAACTAAATAAAATAAAAATAAAATACTAACGAACCTAACAACTAAAATAAATTTAAAAAGAAAAACTTAAAGAAAACAGTTTAATAAAGTGTTCCCCGGCAACGGCGCCAAAAACTTGATTGCTATAATCTGCAAGCGCACAGAGTCAATCACAGTATAAATTCCTAGAGTATTCCAGGGTCGATCCCACGAGGAACACTACTAACTGTTATCTTGAGTAAACAATTTGTTGATAAGGAAAAACGCAAATAAATAGAACTAATGTAATTAAAATAGAATATTTATGAATTAAATAGCAAAGGAAATTTCAATTGAGAGAAGACTAGGGATTTGGGTTCACCGATTAGTCTATTAGATAATTAACTAACTCTCCTAAGTATTAATTCTTATGACTATAGTGATGATTGCTTCAAATATATCCTAATACTCCGTCGAGCTACTAGGTTGTATCCAATTAACTGTGATCATCCGTCGATATCTCACCAACATTAATTAAACCCATTAAGAAACAATCAAATATCACCACAAATACCTAAAGCTATGTCTAGTTTAGGTCAATTGTGTTTATCTTATGAGTTCTAGGTTCATAATTCACCTGTCAGTTCTTCTTATGAACCCTAATATTAGAATTATGCAATGACGAGTCACACAATCCACAATTACAATACATAAAATAAATATAATCAAGTTCAATTATTAAATTAAAATTGGAAGAATTAACACATGAAAATTAGTCAATTAATCTAATATAGGCTAATCCAAATCCCTAATTAAAATTCTAGCCAATAATCATAATTAAATGTATGGAAAATTCAAGGAACAACATTCTGAAAATTTAAACAAAATAAAGTAAGGAAGAAAAATAATTCAAGCCTAAGAAGAAGATAGCCGCGATTGAAGCTCGAAAATTCCTTGCGATGGAGTCTTGAATCTCTTCGCTCCTGCTGCAATTTCCTCGCCGAACCACTGCTGCCCCCAACTTCTCTTGTTTCTCTACTGTTTTTCTCTTCTGTTTCGTACGTATTGCCGAACGAACCAAAAATAAAATAAAAGCCCTAAACCTTAGTCTCCCTTTTCTCTTTCTTTTCCTTACTGCTTCGCAATTCTGTAAGGGGAAAACTAAAATAAAGAAACAAAATTAAATTAAGTAAAATAATTAAAACCTAATGACACCCTTACTAAAACTTAATATTAAAACACTTATTTAGAATTGAATGCATACGACTACAAATAAATCTTAATTAAAATAAAAGTTCTATTTATATTAATAAAAATATAACATTAGCCTAATAGTTATTAAAACACATCTAAACTAGTAACATATAAATAAATATAATATTTATTATAAAATCGACCCTAAAACTTAATTTATTTATGCAACTCACTAATTAAAATTACTCTAAATAATGCCTAGAAATTAAGCTTATCACAGACCACTGTCATAACAGATCACCCCCACATTGAATTAGTAAAGTCATTTCTTATGAAGGTTTGTCCCCTACTCACAGGGCTTGTGCTTCATCTATCTTGGCCACACATGAACCACAATCCTATAATGAGTCAGTGAAAGAAGAGGCATGGAGGAAAGCCATGCAAATTGAAATAGATGCTTTAATTGACAACAAAACTTGGGTCCTAACATACCTACTAGCTGGAAAGTCACCTATTGGATGCAAATGGGTTTATAAAGTGAAATACAAGGCAGATGGAACAATAGAAAGATATAAGGCAAGATTGGTTGCAAAAGGTTACACACAACAGCTTGGTGTGGACAATATTGAAACATTCTCTCCTGTGGCTAGAATGACAACTATAAGAACTTTCTTGGCAGTTGCGGTGGCTAAAGGATGGGACATTCAACAACTAGACATCAATAATGCTTTTTTGCATGGAGACTTAGAGGAGGAAGTGTATATGGTTCTCCCTCCTGGTTTTCAGAATGACAAGCCAAGACAGGTCTGCAAGTTATTAAGGTCCTTGTATGGTTTGAAGCAAGCTAGTAGACAATGGAATGCAAAGCTAACAAGGGCACTACAAGGTAATGGTTTCTGCCAATCCGTAGCAGATCCATCTTTATTCATCAAAACCTCAGGTACTTCATTCATGGCCTTACTGATATATGTTGATGATATACTGGTTACTGGTACAGATTCTGAGCAGATTACAGAATTAAAGAGTTTTCTGGACAAAGTTTTCAAAATAAAGGACATTGGTCATTTGAATTATTTCTTAGGGATTGAAGCTTCTAGAACCCCTAATGATCTTAACTTGTGCCAAAGGAAATATACATTAGAAATACTAAAGGGGAATGGATTTTTGGATGCTAAGCCTACAAATACAGCAGTAACTGCAGGCCAAAAATCAGTAGCCTAGAAGGCACAACTCTTGCCAAACCTGAAGAATTCAGAAGATTGGTTGGCAAGCTTCTCTATCTCACAAACACAAGGCCATAAATCTCTTATGATGTCCAATAATTGAGCCAATTTGTTGACAAGCCCATGGATACACACCTTATGGCTGCTCATAGGGTGTTAAGATACCTTAAAGGTTCCCCTGAAAAAGGCTTGTTCTATCCATCACATTCTCAAATAAAGTTGCAAGGATTTTCTGACTCTGGTTGGGCTACTTGTGCAGAGACAAGAAAATCAATCACTGGTTACTGCATTTTTGTTGGGGAATCTCTAATATCTTGGAAAACAAAGAAGCAAGTCACTGTGTCAAGATCATCTTCAGAAGCAGAATATAGAGCTTTGGCATCTACAGTTTGTGAAATACAGTGGCTACTCTATCTACTTGAAGACTTAAAGGTGAAACCAAACAGCCCTACAGCCTTGTTCTGTGACAATTTATCTGCAATTGCCATAAGAGAGAATCATGTGTTTCATGAACGCACAAAACATATTGAGATAGATTGTCATGTGGTGAAACAAAAGGTAAATGAAATGGTGATCAAACTGCTATCCATTCCTTCACAGAAGCAGTTGGCAGATGGATTCACAAAGGCTCTACCAAGATTGAATTTTGATGTCTTTCACTCAAAGCTTGGGCCTTCAGGATATTCATGCTCCAGCTTACGGCGGGGGAGGGGGCGGGGGGGTGACAAAGTACACAAAATAACAAGGGCTTTCTTGTCTTTTCTAGTGTGTCTAGTTTCTGTTATAACCGCCAGGTTAAAGGCTTTACACAGTGTGTATTTTAGAAGCAGTTTTTCCCTCTCTTCTTTTGTAACTTTCAGAACAGAGAACACTCATAATCTTCTAGCTCTCAATTTTTCTCCTCTTTACTGCAACTCCTTGTCCAGTGAGTAATGAATTGAACTATCATCAGAAATCCATAATTCCCAAAAAATAAAAATATAAAAAAACAAAAATTTCTAGTCTCCTGCTCATCTTCTTTGAGCTAAAAATCAAATATAACTCTCACCGTCTTTAAAATCTTAATTACTTCATAATGTTGTGAGGATAAATATGGCTGACTTTCTACTTTTCTTATTATGAATAAACATGTAAAATGGTGATGGAGGAATAAAATAGAAGATTATGCATCCTTTACAATACCCATTTGCATAGGGAAGATAGTGCATTTTGAGAATTGAACTTAAAGCCTCTCGTACCCTAAGCGAGAATCATACCACTAAACCAAATGCCCTTCTTATTAAATAGAGATGTGAGAAACCAAAAAAAAAAAAAAAATTAGTATATCTTAGAACTAGAAGCTAAAATGACAACAATTAACTTTATAATACAGTAAGTCTCACATCAAGAAATTTATCACACAAATAAAGTTAGATATTGAACAAGAAGTAGAGAAACACATAATCAAAAAACTGGAAAAAAAGGGTTTAGAGAACTACAAAACATTTATTTACACAAGCATAGATGTATATAAGATTTTATAAACTGTATTTTAAACTTAAAGATCGAACCAGAAACCCATAATTCCCAAAAAAAAATAAAAAATAAAAAAAGACAGAAATTTCCAGTCTCCTGCTCATCTTCTTTGAGCTAAAAATCAAATATAACTCTCACCGTCTTTGAAATCTTAATTACTTCATAATGTTGTGAGGATAAATATGGCTGACTTTCTACTTTTCTTATTATGAATAAACATGTAAAATGGTGATGAAGAAATAAAATGGAAGATTATGCACCCTCTACAATACCCCTTCGCATAAGGAAGATGAGGCATTTTAAGAATTGAACTCGAGACCTCTCACACCTTAAGCAAGAATCATACCACTAGACCAAATGCCCTTCTTATTAAATAAAGATGTAAGAAACCATAAAAAAAAAGAGTATATCTTAGAACTAGAAGCTAAAATGACAACAATTAACTTTATAATACAGTAAGTACTACTATAAAGCATAGACGTATAGACAGAAATTTCCAGTCTCCATAGAAGTCTACAATACCCCTTCGTGAACTCGTACCCCTTTACATAAGGAAGATGGGGCATTCCAAGAATTGAACTCGGGACCTCTCGCACCCTAAGTGAGAATCATACCACTAGACCAAATACCCTTCTTATTCAACAAAGATGTGAGATGCCAAAAAAAAAAAAAAAATAGTATATTTTAGAACTAGATGCTAAAATCACAACAATTAACTTTATAATACAGTAAGTCTAACATCAAGAATTTATCACTCAAATAAAGTTAGATATTGAACAAGAAGCAGAGAAACACATAATCAAACAACTAGAAAAAAGGGTTTGGAGAACTACAGAACATTTATTTACACAAGCATAGATGTGTATAAGACTTTAGCAACAGCATTTTAAACCTAAAGATGGAACTAGAACCAAAGACAGAAATTTCCAGTCTCCTGCTCATCTTCTTTGAGCTAAAAATCAAATTTAACTCGAGATGCGACATTCTGAAAATTGAACTCATACCCCTATGCATAAGGAAAATGGGGCATTTTGAGAATTGAACTCGAGACCTCTCGCACCTTAAGCGAGAATCATACCACTAGACCAAAATGCCCTTCTTATTAAATAGAGATGTGAGAAACCAAAAAAAAAAAAAAGTATATCTTAGATCTAGAAGCTAAAATCACAACAATTAACTTTATAATACAGTAAGTCTCACATCAAGAAATTTATCACTCAAATAAAGTTAGATATTGAACAAGAAGCAGAGAAACACATAATCAAACAACGAGAAAAAAGGGTTTGGAGAACTACAGAACATTTATTTACACAAGCATAGATGTGTATAAGATTTTAGCAACTGCATTTTAAACCTAAACAAGCATAGATGTGTATAAGATTTTAGCAACTGCATTTTAAACCTAAAGATGGACTAAAACCAAAGATAGAAATTTTACTCATACCCCTTTGCATAAGGAAGATAAGGCATTATGAGAATTGAACTTGAGACCTTTAACACCCTAAGCGAGAATCATACCACTAGACCAAATGCCCTTCTTATTAAATAAAGATGTGAGAAACCAAAAATAAAAAATAAAAAAATAGTATATCTTAGAACTAGAAGCTAAAATCACAACAATTAACTTTATAATACAGTAAGTCTCACATCATACCCCTTTGTATAAAGAAAATGGGGCATTCTGAGAATTGAACTCGAGTCCTCTCGCACCCTAAGCAAGAATTATACTACTAAACCAACTACCCTTGTTATTAAATAAAGATGAGAGAAACCAAAAAAAAAAAAAAATAGTATATCTTAGAACTAGAAGCTAAAATCACAACAATTAACTTTATAATACAGTAAGTCTCACATCCAAAAATTTATCACTCAAATAAAGTTAGATATTGAACAAGAAGCAGAGAAACACATAATCAAACAACTAGAAAAAAGGGTTTGGAGAACTACTGAACATTTATTTACACAAGCATAGATGTATATAAGATTTTAGCAACTGCATTTTAAACCTAAAGATGGAACTAGAACCCCATAATTCCCCAAAAATAAAAAATATAAAAAGACAAAAATTTCCAGTCTCCTGCTCATCTTCTTTGAGCTAAAAATCAAATATAACTCTCACCGTCTTTAAAATCTTAATTACTTCATCATAATGTTGTGAGGATAAATATGGCTGATCTTAATTACTTCATAATGTTGTGAGGATAAATATGACTGACTTTCTACTTTTCTTAGGATAAATCCTCTACAATACCCCTTCGCATAAGGAAGATGGGACATTCCGAGAATTGAATTTGAGACCTCTCGCACCCTAAGCGAGAATCATACCACTAGACAAAACACACTTCTTATTAAACAGAGATGTGAGAAACCAAAAAAAAATAGTATATATTAGAACTAGAACCTAAAATGACAACAATTAACTTTATAATACAGTAATGGCCCGTTTGGTTCACGGAATAGGCCGGGAATGACATAGCATTCCCAGTAATAGGCCTATTCCGTTGTTTGGTAACCATTTCTATTACCAGGAATAATATTCCTGGTAATAGCCTATTACCTCAAATAAGGTAATAGCTATTACTAGGGCCCCCCCTGGTATTAGCCTATTACTGAACGCTCAGGAATAGATTTTAGAATCTATTTCCTTTTTTACCCCTTTCTTTAACCTTATTTTTTTTTATCATATATATAAATTTATCATATTTCACCACCGTCGTTGCCGCCACCACCATCACCGCCGCCGCCACCACCACCATCGTCGCCGCCGCCACCACCACCATCACCGCCGCCGCCACCACCACCACCATCACCACCGCCGCCGCCACCACCACCACCACCACCATCGCCGCCGCCGCCGCCGCCACCACCACCACCATTGCCACAACCGTCACTGCCCCCACCACCGCCGCCGCCCCCACCACTGCCACCGCCGCCACCACCACTACCACCGCCACCACCACCATCACCACCACCGCCACCGCCACCACCACCACCGCCGCCGCCACCAGAACCACCACACAGCAGCACCACCGCCACCACCACCACCGCCACAACCGTCGCTGCCCCCACCACCACTGCCACAACCGTCACCGTCAACACCACCACCGTCGTCCCCACCACTGCCACCGCCACCACCACCGTCACCATCACCACCATCACATATTTTTATAAGGGTATTTATGTCTTTTAAAACATATTTCATTTCTATTCCTTAAATCAACCAAACACTGTAATATAATTCCTAAAGTCTATTCCTTCCGCGAACCAAACAATAGAATACAAATCCTATTCTATTCCTTGCCTATTCTATTCCTTATGGAATAGCATTCCTATTACCTCAAAATTCATTCCGCGAACCAAACGTGCTGTAAGTCTCACATCAAGAAATTACTAGAAAAAAGGGTTTGGAGAACTATAGATGTATATAAGATTTTAGCGACTACATTTTAAACCTAAAGATGGAGGAATGTATACAAGATTTTAGCAACTGCATTGGAAATTGAGCATTTCAAGAATTAAACTCAGAACCTCTCACACCCCAAGCAAGAATCATACCACTAGACCAAATACCCCTCTTATTAATTATATAGTTTAAAAATAAAGTACTCCATACCATATTAAAGCAAACTAGTATTGTCCCCGTGCGATGCACGGGATAAATATTGTTCAAATTTATTGTTCAATTGTGTGAAATATTTAAAAGATAATCTAATATTTTCAAAGATCAAGAATTAAAAAGTCGAGTTGAAATAAAATATAGAAAATGTAAATGAAAAATAGAAACAATAATGAATTTTACTTTAACATACATCTGAATAAATGTAATATATTTATTCTAATAGATGTATGTGTGATTTAATAATGTAATCTCTAGTTGAATTATATTTTTGTTTTGAGTATTTTTTATTAGATTTTAATATTTTTTTATCCCTAATAATAATATTTATGACTCAGCCTCTAAGTGTTTTATTTTATTTTTCTTTTCATCCCATTGTAGAAAATTTATGAACCTCCCCATGCTTATATGTTCTACCTTCCGCAAAATTTAAATTGAACATATATCTAAATTGAAATTGAAATAACTAAAAAATATATTAATAACAAAAATTATGTATAATGTATACATACTACACATCTAATGTATACATACTACACACTAACAATTATATATATATATATATATATATATATATATATATATATATATATATATATTAGAATTCTCTAGAAGATCAGAGAATTCTTAGCTCATCTCTTGTCTGCCTCTGGTCTATCTCTCTCTATACTTGCGTTTTCAGAAAATCCATCTACGCTCTTGACGCGCTACAGATCTGTCTGGAAAGCATACCTATCTAAAGCTTAGCTAGGAGTGAAGATCAAGCATCCAAGAAACCTGTAGTTAAGTGGTTTTTCATCTCTTGCACATTAATTTTTTTAAATTCATCATTTTCTTGTGCAGATGACGTAACATATGTACTAATTTATGTAATATATAGCTTAAAATTTCAGATTTCAAGCATTGATTGTCGAATTTCGTTCATGTGTACAGATCTAGGTTTTAGGGTTTACGTCTAACCTCCATTTTTGAAGAACCATTACATATCTGTACTTGCGTCATATCAGCATATAAGTTAAGATTATTGAGTAATTTATGCATTTTTGGATTGCACGCAGAATTGCAGATGGTGGAACAATTATAATGGTTCTGCGTATAAGATAAGTCTATCTCTCTTATTCGATACTACTAATTTCTACTGGCCTGGTTTGCGGATATTCCGTCTCTATACTATTTATATGAGTACCGAAAAATTGTCTAAAAAAAGAAAGTACTACCTCTGTTTTCCTCTTTAGACTTCCGTTTATATTTCATATAATTGTAGATCTGGTCAATTTCCTCATTTGCCTGTATTTATGTTAAAATTTTAGTCTAGCTGGTCTAATGGTTTAGTTTTTTTGAACTGATTCATTACATTTTTTTTTTCCACTGGAAAGCATTCTAATGGTCTAATAATTTGATTACAGACTACATTCTGTACATTAGCTGCAATAAATATACTAAACTGCTCATTCTAACAACAAATACATTTCAATGATGTCACTGTAGCTTTCAATCCTTTCATAGTGCAATATGGTTTCTGCAACTTATTGTCAAAAGAGTCAAATTCATAATATTTTTCCAGTTCTTGCCAAATGAGTCAGATTTAGACCTGGCAAAGTAATAAGAATTTACCTATATTCTGAACTTTTTAAAGTTAAAGTGTAATTTTGCCAAATGCATAGCTAGAATACATGTGCTACACTATTCTATCATGACTAAGGGATCAATGCTGAAATGATACTTTTGTGTCTTCAAAATGATATATGTGCATTTCAAATTTGTTGCTTCAGACTGTTTGGCATGGTATACTCATTTGCTATGTGTGATCTGTTTTTGTATATGTACTCCACTACCTGCAAAATATTAGGAAATAACATAGAAATCAAATATTACCTATTCCAAATTAGAAATTAGAAATAACTCAGAGACAAAAATGTTCCAAAACAGATTAGAGGTAGGCATGACATCTCATCATCCCCACTAAAAACCTTAGTTGGCATAAATGTTTGTCAGTTCATCACATTACCACAAAAAAAAAATTTGAATAAAATAAAAAATTAGTATAAACAGTATATAATAGGAAAATTGAATGAAATAAAAAATTAGTCTAATCTTAGAACCAACGTATCATAACATAAAGTGTATACCTCAGAGATTTTCACCACTGGCTGAAACAGAATAGGAACTACCTGGATCAAAGCTGGACTGTGATACAATACTCCTCATGGGAGTCTGTTTATGGCACAAACTCATTCCGAAAAAATAATAATTCATAGTTTAGGAGAAAGTGTTTTAAGCCTATTTTCTTTAGATTTTAGTTTCTTTAGATTTTAGTTTAGAATAGACCTTTCTATGAACTCTAATAACTCTGGGATGTGTTTAAATAGAAGTTGAGTAACATGAACAAATCTTGATCTCACCAGTTAAATAAATGAAATATATTATTCCGGCTGCTATTGTAGGACCAAAAAAAAATGTTTGAACAATCTTGACTGTA